TTTTCATGACACACCACTTTCTTTATCCCAGACCTTCAAGCCTATAGCGGGGTAGGGTTTAGCAAGGCTGTTATTGTTGATAAGTGCCACCCAGGTGGTTCTCATCCATAGCAACACTGTCTAGAGTTTCTGAGGAGCAACTAGTAGGTTTGACCCACCGACTTTGCAGTTGGCAGTTCAGTACTTATCCTACAGTGCCTAACCAGGATCCCATAAGCAAGCTACAGAGCCTGTATTTCTTCTAGAGGTTTGCTAACTTTGTTAAAATCTTTCCCTTTCAAAATCTCCCTCCCATTTTGCCCTCAACTTAAGACTGAAGAGAAGGGGTCTAGAGAAGTGTAAAGGTAGGGATTTTCTCTAATTACTTGTTGAAATGCCATAGAAATGGGTGATACAGAAGGGATACAAAGACCCAGTCTGTCTCGAAGGCCTACCTGCTAGCTGAGGGAAGAGGACAGTGCTAGCCAACAAGGCCACAGAGTGGTTCAGCTACCAGCACAGAGACAGAGCGAGGACAGTGGGCCACCAACAGGAGGATCTGCAGCCACTTGGATACGGGTATGGCAGGGAAAGCTTCATCAGGCAGGCAACATTTATCGAGAATGAGAATCGTGAAAAGGGAAGTGGAGCCGAAAAAGGGGACGACTGGAGACAAGAAAAAGTGCATAAGGAAAGAGAGAAAGCATGGAATCCCAGAAATGAAAAAAATGTGAATATGTCAAAGGAGTGGGTAAAAGTTACAAATGACAAGATTAAGTCTGATGAAAAAATGCATGGGCTCTGGGAAAGAGAAGGTTATTTTTGACCTTTGTCAGAACCATTCTGATAGAGTAGTGGACAGAAGACTGGCTGCTGTGAATTCTTTTTTTTTTAATGAGTGGGGAAAAAAATTAAGAGTAAATAAAAGGCAAAAAGTGGTGATAACTCTTTAGAGTCATTTGCCTTTTTACTTTCAAGTGTACTAGTAGTTCAGCTACAGTAAGGGTTAGACAGGCATCTGGTTTGTATGAGAAATGATTCCCAAATACAACTCACTAACTTAGACTAATTCTCAACTGAGAGACTGCCGATACTCTTACTTAAAATGAATGACAGTCATGTTTCTATTGATTTACTCTGACATCACTCATTTTTCTTTCATGTAGTTCAAAATAAATAACATTTATAATTGTTTATATATAGTAGAAAAGGTACTTTATTTTATATATCATTGGTTCACAATACATAAAACTGCCTATAATCAATCAGTTCTTGGAAAACACAAAGACCAACTCTATCTTGCAATCTACCTCATTTATAATTAGATGACAACAATTATTTTAAATATTTAGAATCTCTTTATATCCGAAGTTACAAATGATTTTCATATTACAAATGCTGCAAGTTTTTCTTTTTTGAATAAAAACATCTCGAATCAGAACAAGTCTTTACTAGTTTACGAGTCTTTGAGATACTAAACCCACAACTTCCCTTTCCTATAGATGATTATATTAATGTAAGCAGGTTATGGTGTGGAGAGTGACATGCATTCAGATTATCTAAATTTTTAGTTAAAAATTGCCACTAAACTAAAATGAAGCCAATACAAAATTCTAGAGAATATAATTCCAAGAGCATGCAACATCAGAGATAGCTTCAATACATATGGGATCAAAGTTGCAGAGCACAGAAAGAGTATGTGGCAACAAAGTTTGCTGCATCATAATTCCTTATCCAACTGGAGGAGTACAGAAAGTAATTTAGCTTAATGTAAATCCTTCTACGGAAAATTTATGCATGATACGGTCCACTACAATACAGCAGGAAAATGTGCAAATCATAAGAAGGTAAAAATATGTCTCGTTATTTACCCTCAATCCATACTATTCATGAACACACAGCTTTAAGATCTAATATTATCTAGGATTATCAAAGCTACAGAGATTTCTCAACGGAATCTTTCAGACACCAATCATTTTTCACAGAGATAAATGTGACTGGTGCTTAGTATACAAATGCCAAAAAATGACAACAGAATCTGGGCTAATTCTCAAAAGTGAAAACATTTATTATTTTAACAAATCCCTTGGTATAGAAAAAGACGGTCTTTCCCTCTGAAAAGTCAGCTATATTTCAGAATCATCACTTCACATTCACCTCCTGGCCTAGAAATTAGAGGCATTTGAGTAAAGTAAACCAAAGTCTTGAAAATACTAATCAGGCTTAACTGTGCACACTCAAACAAATACTCTGTCCTTTGCTTAAAATTAACTTATTCTTTGTCATTAAGGGAAGTGCTTTAATTTTACATCAATAAAAAATATTGAGGGGGGGTAAGAAGTGCTTCAAGATGCAAATTGCTAATTAATACAGAATACGGGGTTAAGGGCGAGGCTTTTCCTAATAAAGCAGATACATTATTAAAATAATTGTGCTTGAAAAATACATGTACTATAACTTTCCATTCTTTTAACTAAACATACACATACACACAACAAACCCTAGAATTTAATATGTGCAAAATTGCTTACTATTTAATTTTAACTTTGGTTAGGTATTGTTTAGCCTATATCAGACACATTATGGAAACTATATAAATGATTACAAACATAATATTGAGGTAAGTTAAAAAATTCTACTAGTGCAAAAAGCAAGCATATGCCAAAATGTAAAGCATATATATGAGTTAAACAAACGCAGAATGAAGCGCTCACCAAGGGACTTGCTGGAATAACAAACTGGAGAAGCTCCTTGTAAACATTGTTTATAAAGTACATATTTAAAGATTAAGAATTCTTACAGGGTAGTCACAAAAAAAAAAAAAAAAAAAAGGTATTCTACCAACACCATAGTAGTGCATTTATTTTACTTAAGAGGTCAGAAACCACTCATTATGTGTCTAACTATTTGCATATTTTCTTCAAGAGGAACTTAATGAGACACATGAATTACAAATACTGTAGAATAAAAACCTCAATTCACTACAAAAAATTATATATTAAAATATTCTATACATTTTAAATTAGCAACTGGAACACACAAATATATTGGGTCTGCACAATTAACTCGTCTTTGCCAAGGGTACTGTACATGATATTTGAAGGACACAGCTATTCAGTCGGCCTACACTGGCAGACAGTGATGTGGTAGAAAATAGACAGACCTGTGCCCCTGCAGATACTGCAGCTCTTGGTTAGAAATATCTTTTCTGAAATTATTGCTCTTGTATACTCACTCCACGTTTGAACAGGCAGTGAAACTGAAATTCCTAAAGGTTTAAAACACATTACCATGAGCAGAGTGTTCATAATAGCTATATGAATCTTTAAGGTTGTAATGGAACCTGAGCAAGCTAATGCTAATATTTCAGTTGTAAAAAAGTTTATACAATTTCAAGGTAAAAACATTGCAAAAATAAAACATTCGGGCATTTACAAAATCTTACAAATGTTTAAAACACTATTTCAAAACTTGAGTCCTGTTAAGGTGCTTCTTTCTGCCAGAGGAGGGCAAGGTTTTCATTTCAGCGAAAGCAAAGTTAGGATGATTAAGATGGGCATTTAAATGTTCAAGATGGATTTCATTTTTCATGAAAAGCTGGAATTTTAATGTTGAAAGGGACTGCCTCGTTTACTAATGAGGAAACAGAGGGCCAAGTAAGTGAAGTGCTTTGGTCAAAAATACCTTAAATATATACTGGCTTGATAGGAATCAAGAAAATCCGATACTCCTTTTATATTTTATCATGAGCCTTAAAAAATATTAAACATTTAAAAGGAGAATTTTTGAACTTGCATTAAAAAATTTTTTTCTTAAACTTTGTGCTTACTGTAAATAGACAAAAAGAATTAAATGTCTACTAAAATTAGTATCATAAGTATTATTTGACAGAAGACAGCGGTTAGATGAGAGAGTACTTAAGGATAGGGTGTTCATAATGCAGAGAACGTTTACTGTATAAGAGCGTGATATACAACAGCCAGTTACTAGAGTCATCTAGTAACAAACTCTAAGACGACTGAGTTACAAGGCCTTTTTATAAAAGATATTGGGACAATAAAGCCTTTTGGCCTTATATATACTAATATACATATATATATACACACACACACATATATATATATGTATATATACATCTATACTAATTTTCAAAGTCTTTGCTTTGCTATTTTTATTTAGATCTAGAATTGAACAAATACATTTTAAGAATTTACAAACTCAAATTCATAACTGCCAGAAATACAATCAGAGAATACTCTTTCAAATGACAAAATCTTCATAACCAGTTACTAATAAATAATCATGACACCAGCTTCGTAAAAATCCAGTTCAGCATAAAGGTGTTTTCTTATTGTTACCTTGAAGCCATCGGACTTGGGTTGCTGGTCCATATCCCTTTTCATTTTTTGCTGATATCCTGAACACAATGGCAGGCCGGGATGTGTAATCAATCTGTGCATTTGCAAGTTGTCCAGCAGTTACTATACATGAAGTCTTAAGACCACAATAAATCCTCATGAAAACAAGCTGACTCGGATTATCTTGTATCTGTGCTGTACGGATAGCCAAATAGGCTGAATACTCCAAAATATTTCCAGAAGGTGAGGTTGGAGGTTCCCAGGAAAGATGGATACCCTCAACATTCTTGAAGAAGGAAAAAAAAAAGGGTAAAAGATATAAAGTTTTCTCTATTATCACCTGTTATGTTGAGTCTATTTTTAGAACACAGAATGTTGCTTTTTTGCTAAAATATTTGCATTTGATGATAGATCTTTTATTGTTTTTAGAAACCTAGCATATTAAATCTAAAACGTTTTAATTCTTGCCCACTTTTCAAAAACACAACCAAACTGAAATGTCTGCCTGTAATATTCCAATGAATAGTAGAGAGTTAACTCAGCAGGCGTAAGAGTGCTCAAACCCTACACAGAGCAAAGCAAAGGGCTAGCTTCTGATCATTCTTGGGACATAACCTCTAAATCCTTAGAATATCCTGATAAGGGTGTCTTACCATCTCAACCACTCTAGGATAACTGAATCATAAGACCATTATAAAAGATATTGAAGTAATAAAGCCTTAATCTATAATAATATGTGAGGGTGGTTCAAAAAGTTTGTGGAAAAGTTCCATTATTATTCTTTTCTTTCTGGCTGTAGAATTTATTTCAATCAACTTTTAGAAAAGACAAATACATCATTTTTCAACATAATCTCCTTGGTTTTTTGCTTTTGTTTTTTTAAGGTTTTTATTGTGGATTGAGTGAAAGTTTACAGGGCATAGCATCAGTTTTACATTCAACAAATCATATACCTTGTTTCATTACATTGATTATAATCCCCTCCATGTACCATCAGTTAACAGTATTTCTCTCTATCCACTTGTTAGCGTTTTAAAAAACAAACAAACAAAAAAACCCACTCAGGCATATATAATAATTTACATCTCCAAAGGGCACATTCTGCAAGTCTGCTCCTGGCCACCAGCTCTTAGTCCTTCTCTTCTTAGTTGATGAATCTAGAGTCCTCCATGCCCACATCTCTACCTCCATCTCTGGTGATGCTGCTTCTCTGGGTAAGGTCCCGCGTTCTGCTTGTGTGTTCCTCTCTTGATGGTCCTAGGATCCTCTGTTTTGGGACTATAAGATTAACCACTTCCCTTTTTTCGTTACAAAACTTCTACCTTTACAATTGTGATAGCCACGATTAGTCATGATAACAATTATTCACTATTGAATTTTACGAATATTATCCCCATCTCTTTTCACCAGACCCATCTAGACAAGATGACAGCTATTCAGTGGGGACTCTTTCTTTCCCCCCATACTCTTACACTAAGCTCCCTCTTGAAACCTTGTAAGCCAATCACTTCGTGCCTTTATTGCCCCTTCATTTTAGGTAGCCAGTGTCTAAGTTGCCCATCCCTATCTACCCTGTGTACACAGAGGATAGCATTGATACTTGATTTGAAGACTCTTTCTCTCTCTGTTGGTATTTAGAGTAACTACCGCTCTGAGTATAGGTCAGATTCATCATGAAGATGTATCATCTGTCACTGTAGCTGTTCCAGTTTGCTTGTCCTTTCTA